GAGATTTTTGCATATTATTATGTATAGAAACTGCGCGACATGGAAGTAGGTAACACGAGACTTTACAGTGTCGCTTGATGAGCGATCATCAGCTTCTTCACCGCACTGGGTGGCGTTGGGTTCAACGTTACGACGGGCAAGTCTCGGGGTCATTATAAAGCGATCCAATTACTGTCGTGTACGTCAGCACCTCGTGTGTTAAATACCACAGGGAATTTTATTCTAACGACGAATCTAGCAGTTAGCAATTCGTTCTGTGATTACAGAAGCACTTCTCTTTCTAAATTAACAACCCATTTCATAAAATTTCGTATAATACACGTGGAAAGATATTTCTCAGATAAAATTGAACTCAGTTAGACATGCATTTTCTATCACGTACTGTTATCTGCGTGCCTGTGGAGGTTCGTAGTTCGAAGTTACGTTAGTTCAAAGTAAGGTTTCGCTGGACCGATTTGGACCAGAATAAAACATTTTATATAATAGAACTATATATTCCGGAAAGAAATAATGACATCTACCTTCCTTCACATGTTTAAATGTAAATAATGAAGCTAGCAGGGATAAGTTATTAATAAGGATAAAACTTTAATTATTTGAAGCATTTGTGAACATCGGAACTAAGTTATAAATTCTTCGCTAGACTTATGACGTTCAATAGATTTTATATATCGGAATTTAGAATATGTGGCGCGTGCTTGGACTTTTAAAACGTGGATATTATCATCTGACGAGACTGGAAGGCTCACCGACTCTTTAACCACATGGATTCTTGCGACAGTGTAATAGACATCACAATATTATCTCTGACAATCGCGTCTGTCTCTGATACGTAGCCTATTATTGAATCTATCCGGTCTTTGTCGCCTGTGACAACGCGGTCTTTTGAAATTCAGCCGCCATAATACAGACGGGCCGTGGAAAATTTCACAGGATAGATTACAGTTTACTTCGTAATGCTTTATAAAACAGCAGAGCTGTTAAGAAGGCTGCCATTATAGTAACGTTCGACAATCGTTGCTAAGACAAAGTCGTGTAATGTTACATAATTGCTTGGAAGACAAAAGAAGTTCCTTTTTCGACCACGGGCTGGCGAGGTTTTCCGCGCCTCTTGCATCCTACTCTGAAGTTTGCGTTGTGTAAAGATTATAATTTCGTTTCGTAAAATGACGGGGTACCGTCGTCTACTGTCAACCATTGCTTTGTTCAGGGGAGATGACGGAAGAAATTATATGCGGCACAGCTGTAAAGCAGTAACTCCTCAAGGAATTATCTCCTCTGTTTGTGGATGGGGAATTAGTAAAGGGCGCATTCCTTCTCGACGAAGAATTTTCTTCGGGAGTGGCTGACGTGTTTGTGCCAAGTTTTTGACACGAGAATCAAACCCAAGGGATTTAACTCAAGACTCTTTGAGTTGGTTGTGAAATCGTCACAGAGGTTGAGGTTTTGCTAGATGCTTGACGTCCACACACGAACAAAAAGTGAGGCTTATCTTTAGAAACTTGTTCAGAAACCTCGTATGTAGGCAGACAGGTCACTCGAGAGGCGAACTGGACAGATCTTAAGGAGTTGTATTTTGAATGTATGGTCTGACTCGGGATAAGATGCGGTCTTTTTGACCGTGGTGAATTTTCGTGAGTCTTGTGTTCATCTTTGGTCCGAACGTCAGCAGCCACGGATAGTCATTTATTCATTCGGCCAGTCACTGGTGCAAGGAAGTCATCCAGTCACTGACACCACCCAGTCATCGCTCTAAGTGCTAATTCACTCCGAAGTTGCTTATCGTAAGAGCGTCACAAGTCCGTAATTGTGCCTGCATACATTTTGTACTTGGCTGGTTACTTCTTTGAGGCACTAGATTACCCAGTCGCTTGTCGAGGAGCAAAACAATCCGCTATTGTCTTCGTTTTCCCACTGAGCAGGCCGATAGCAATGGCATACGCCCGTCTCGGAAGTATCACATTATAAGTCCATTATTTTTATTATTAAAGAAGGGCCCCAATGCGGCATGGGTGGTCTCTGGGGCCCATCCATCACCACTTTGTCCATCATTGTGCAGTAATTTGATAATGAGTCAGTCACATACAGATAATACGCGCAGGTTTAGTTACGGGTTGCATAACTGTCACTGAAGAGTTTTGCCTTCGGTTAGCAGCGAGGCCTCCGATTGAAATTTACGATCCCATGGCAAAATTACAAGTCTCGGACTGCGTTCACTGTTCTGTAAACGAGTTGTGTTGGCCGTATTTAATTTATGGTACACATGTGTAACGAATATGTATGGTCCGTCTAATATTTTATAAAATTATTTGTTGCTGATGGCAAATTTTCACGGATTATATCCCCTCTCTAACATGTTGAGTTTTAGAATTAATTTTGAAAGACAGAGTAATTTATGTGTTTGTACATCGGCAACGCATTAGAGTAAAGCATTAATTAGATTACGGTTTATTCAACAAAACACGAATAAATAGTCGGTATAAAGACGTACATATTAAATGTGACCGGCGAAGTTGCACAACTTGGACTGTTTTTAATAATCGAACAACAAAAATTAAATATAGTATTTTTCATTTCAAAATTTAAACGATTATAAAAGGCGGAGAAATGCGTACCTAATGAGCAACTATCAGATTCTCAAGAAGGACTGTCCTCCTCCATGGTATTAGTTACAACATTGAATTGGAATAGGATTCGGCAGGTTATCTGTGCGATCCAGGAATTTAATGGAGACCCTGAGGAAAAATTTGTGAGTTTCAAGAATCGATGCCCCCTCCAGGAATACGCCGCTGGAATGCTGACCACTCCATAAGAGGCACGTCCGACGTTGTGCTGTTTTTAAAGGCCGGGTCTTCTTACCTTGTTCGTCATTTATAACGGCAATTAACGACGCCTTAAAGCAACGCATCGTTAAGAGGAGTGACTGCAGCTCGTGCTGACGTCCGTCCGTACGTCCTCCTGGATGTCGCTTTGCTCTTCTCGCAGCGGGGCGCTTGATTTATCGGCTACTGTTTCCTGGAACAGACACGGACCGCCTTTTCGCATTCACCGCGCAGACGAGACCTGTCTCCGATAACACTCCTGATAGAACTGCCACAACATTTTCCGTCGAGCGATTTCTTTTCGAACCTTCTTGGTTCTGTCAGGGGCACCCAAGAGTCCTGAGTTAGGTTTATGGTTACGCGATAAAACGACAAATTGCTAGAACACGATTAACTGTAAATGGAACTGTTGTCTCGGAACATGTATCTGCGTTGTGAGGACGTCGCCGATAGGCCGGTATCGGAAGTCCTATGCCTTATTTCAGTCCTGACCAACAAGGTTATAAAGACGTTGACTTACACGGACCGTTTGCAGCCATGGACCATTTGAAACACGGACAAACGAGAGACAAATTGACGCAGTACATTGTGACAGGACTGCGTTGCTCAACATTTGGTCCGCAGGCCGCATCCTGCACAGTGTTCTGCCTCAGAGAACTTACGGAGCAACAGAATGGCACTTCAGCGTAGCCGGTACAAAATGCCGTGTAGTCTGATAGAAGTTTACTGACGTTTCTGAGGTCCTTGCTGCCTAAATCATTAGCCCTGAAGATGGACGCAGCACTGATGTCTTAAGCGGCGATAAACTTCTACCACACTACACGGCGCTGTACACCAGAGGACGGTCAATTCCGTATTTGTCGTCGTGGAAACTCAGATCGTATTTAAGAATTCGGTCCGTACCGCGAAGAAAACACTTCACTTCACCATTACGAAGATCGAATGGTTAACGCTGTTTAAGGAAATAATCGCTGTTTGAACTGAGAATCATACGAAACGCACGAAAGACGTTGTGTGAGTTAAATGGAAAGTTATTCATTATTAAAGAACGTGGTACATATAGTTACCACTGGCCCCGTAATGGTGTGGGAATTGGTGCTCCATAAATTTCTACTGTGTTTGATAGTCTAGTATCAGCAGAGATAACTGTGTCATGTTTGATTAGTGTTATCAGTTGTGTGCTGAGCCCTCTCTGGCTTGCCTCTGGCACAAATCGAACTGTCAGCTAAAGGTAAGGACGAATTGAAGGTAAGTCCTGGACCAATGTGTGAGGTTGTGTAATTTTATCGGAACGATTTGATGCTCATAAAGATGAGAGCGCTCTGGGCTCGTCTGTCCTTAGCCGTGTGTTACTACTCGTATGTTGTGGGGGTGAATTTTGTGACGGGTTTGTACGTTACTCTTTTAAAATCGGTAAACGTATTTTCACGAAATTTTATAATAGGAATTTACCCTGAATATCTGGAAATTGAATGCCAATTTGAAGGTACAACACAAATCATAAGTGTCTGAAAAGAATCTGTTCAAGACATTGGCTTGTTTTTGAACGTGAGATGGCTGAATTCAATGCATATTTTGGGATAATTTCAACGTCGAAGCCCATTGACTCTACAGGCCGGCCAGGTATTGTTAGGGAGCTGAGCTGAAAGAGGATGTGATGGGAGACAGGAAATGCAGGCAAAATTTTGGAATACGGGGTAAGATATTGGAGGGTAAGATTAATATGGATGCTTAGGGAGGAAAGATTATGAGGGCCGGCGGAAGTCGTAAGTGGTTCAGTGTATTGTCCAGCGGCAGTCTCGTCTTTCTGTTAGCGACGTCCAGATTTCTGCTTCAGATGCATCTCCGGGCACAGTAGAGAATCTAGTAGGATTAGTGGTAACGATGTAAGAGCTACATCCGTGAGACGTCGCCCGTATTCTGGTTCGGGTTTCTGACATTTTCAAGTGGGACTGAACCGAGCTTTCTATCTATTCGTCAACACTTTTCTGTCTCAGTTAAATGTTATGTAAACTTCTTTAGTTGGTAGAGCTTCGCTAAATAAGTAAGGAATTAGTCGATTAACCGCCGGGAAATATTTTCTAATAACCATTTGATACGAGACAGCGTTGGTCACAGAACGATTATCGATATGAAGTTGAGGAAGGATGTTGTCAATTGTGGTATTCTGACTCACAGCGCTGTGTCGCCACCGTCAACCCAGAAGCGGTACGTTCCTGAAGAAAACCTTTTGTAACTACCTACAACAAGTACAAGGCGTCACAACCCAAAAGGCCACTCTGACATTTCATCGCCGTGAGATTCTGACGTCTGATGAGGTTAGGTTCGTATTTTGACGTCGAAACCCTCGGAAGCTGGTTACAATATTGATGTTATAGATTTCAAATGTCTTCCGCTCGGCTCTTGGTAGATTTGGAGTGCGCTGATGGTTGTGTGCCAGTCTCAGGATGGTCGAAGGCCCTGGAAGGTCCAAAAGGGACAATGCTTTGGCTCGCCTTCAATCTCGGGGTGGTGTCGGCGGTGAGTACCTGCCTTTTGAATGAACCTCGACAGAAATTAGTAACTTGATATGACTACGCCGTAGTGCGTCATGTTTCGTTATGTTCAGAGTAATTAACTTTCTTTCGATTATTTTATCATAATTAAATGTGCAAGTTAGCTGATTAGTTTTCAATAGATATTTACTGAAAATAAAAACCGTTTGTGATAATGAACTGTCAATTAAACTCCATACTGTGCGTAGCAAGATGACGGCAAATTTAATCTTTAAGTGTGAGATAATTTACACTTAAAGATTGCCTTTTGAGCTGAAGGAGTAGTAGTTTGGATGAGGACAAAGTCGTACAACATTTTGCCATTCGGAGGACCGAGAAGTAATGGGATAATATTAAAATGTTTTTGAGGGAAATAGTGCTTTGTAAGTATATCCGAATTAAAGTGGTTCGTTACGAATTCCAATAGCGGGATTCAGTTATATCTAATTTATTCCTAGTTTATTTATTTAACGTTGGGTTATAGGATAATAATTTAGTTAAAGAGTACGTAAAGAACCTGTCATTGATTTATGTGTTGTCTGGCATTTGCCTGTAGACTTTGAGGATAATGACTGAAATCCTCAGTCAGGATAGCTGATTGTGGGTTAGCTGCCGAAAGCGGGTGTTGAATCTCGCGTTCTGTTTAAGGAGATGTGTGTGCGATGTATCAGCAGGGAAATTCATTTTGACGTTTCGTCACCCAGGTTTTGGCGCTCCTCGACATGTCTCTCTGCTCCTTCTACTTACCAAGCTTTGAAGATTTTAATAAGCAGACTTTTCGATTACAGACACAAGTTTCCTATTCGGTCTTGAACGAAGGTGAGTCGTATGTGAAGGAAAGGTGAAAGTTCTTTGAATTATTCTTAGTTACATAAAAAACTTACGCGAAATTAAAATGCTTTTTAAATCTTATCAGGAAAACTGATTCGATTCTTCAAAAGCATGTAAACAAATGATTTTACCCACGTGGACACAGTCTTCTACGTAGAGAACTCAGGTTAATGGTCACAATGAGTCGAAACTCATCACTTACAATCTATGGCGTATCTGGAAAGACTAAACGCGTTGTTTACAATTTCTGCTCGATGTGATTTTCCGAACAATCCTCTTTAAGTATTTTACAAGAGCTTTGAATCACCCTGTATATACTTGGACTTAAAACGTAAAATCTTACAGAGATGCGAAGTCACAAATAACGATGAGGAAGTTCCGTGTTGTTATAGAAATATAGGAAGTTATAAATTGTTGTTAGATCGTAGGAAGCTGTTAGCGGAAGTACCTTTCCATGTTTACAGCGGTACATCTGCTCTACGTTTCTCAGGGGATTGTGGGCTGCTTGCAGTCCGCGGTGTGCGCTCTGCTGTTCTACAAATCCGCTCGTACCTCGGTAAGTGTCCGCTGCACGAATTACGTCTAAGATCTTGTGCCGGGGCGTCCATTTCGGGGACGACAAGATTTCTCACGCAGCAGCCAACCTGGAATGGACCGTCTGATTAATTTTAATGTACCCCATTCAAACCTCCTCTTCGCGAGGGCCCACGCTTCAATCTCTACCGGAATATTGGACGTTTCGGTGGTTTTACTCAATCTTTCACATGATTGCTGGGTTACCTGCTTGTAATAGGCCACGACTGCTTCCCTTCACGTCATAAATTTGATTACTGTATGGTGTTTGAAGTCACATAACCTACACGTTTGAAAAATGCGTACACTCTTTTGGACGATTCCTCTTCGGAGACGCAGATGTGAATGAGAGGATAGTACTGACTTTGTCTCTGAAACGTCGGCAGACTTCTGCCAGTGCTCCTTCTCCCATCGGGCCTGTAGAATGATAACGAAGAAGTGGAATCCGAACCACGGTGAGATAAAAGAAATACATTCACAAAATTATTGCTTTGTGATACTCGAGGAAAGGTCGAAATTGAACGCTGGATCAGGTTGGTCTCGAAGACGAGGTTTTCTGGGAAAGGAAGGCAAATTTTTTTTTTTTTAAAATTATGAGAATTAAATTTTTCAAAATGTGTTCCGTTCTTAATGAAGAGAGAGTGGAGTCAGGGCTGAGGTGCGTGTTTGTGATGACAGGCGGACCTACGGTGGTTTGCGGCGTGGCTGTTTCTCTTCACTGTCGTCATCGTCTCGTATCTGCGAGTGCTGAACGCGGCCTCACTCTTCCAGGAACCCGTTCCAGTCGTTAATGTCCTGGCCAAGGGACTGCTCTCCAGTGGTAATTTTTTTTTTTTTTACATTACATTACAATCCTTCCAACTTCTCGTTTGCGAAACTCTGAGTGAGATTTCAGGTTCTCAGTATCAAGATGACTATCCTCTGGGTTGTTACGTCTGTGTAGTCTGGTGAAAGTCTACCGACGTTTCAGAGATGGTTACGTTCTGCCTCCATCATCATTACTAATGGCCTTTATGAAGGCAGCAAGCACCTCTGAAACGTCGGTCTCGCCGCCGACATGAAAACCTCAAATCCTGCAAAGAATACATGGAGCTATACCTCCACTTCCCCATACGCCCCTGTAGGAGACTTCGCATTTATTTTGGTCCTCGTTGGCAAATGAAATTAGCAAGCCGTCATAATGGCGTTTGGTGTGTTGTGTTTCAGTTCTGAACGTGTATTTCTTGTTGGCGTCTCTGTGTATGTACCATCAACATAGCCACCAGGATATACAGCCAATTGGAATCATGTTGTGATACAGAGTCTTCCTCGTGCACTCTCCTGTGAGTTCTTGTGAGCAGATTCTTAATGCATTTGAATCGTCATTGAATAAATATGGCAAGACGTATTACTGTGGTGTTGGTAAGAAAATCTGTATGCAGGTAACTGGTTGCTTTACGAATTGTAAATATCTAACGCTTGAAGTATGGAGAAATAACTTAAAACAGAATAAAACTAGTCTGGAATTCATGACATATTTGTTGTTAACTCTGCTTTTATAAGCTGTTGATTGTCTTGGCTATGCAGTTTGTTGAGAGACAGCTGAGATAAATCGGGCAAGAAATACTTAGTGTTGTAAGAATTCAGCTGAATAACTGTACTTTCAATGTTATGATGTACTTGCTAACAGCTTGAAGTTACCAGTTCTTTCAAACCAAGTTACTGGCTTCTGGAACTCATTACGGGATTGCTTAATTGGATATGTTATAAACTAACGTAAAAAGCTTTGTCAATCCGTTTCTTTCTGCCTCAATCCCTAGTCGTTATTCGTTTCTACCCTAATTCTCATGATATTTCATTCCTCATACATCTCCATTCCTCTTGGCCTCACTAAGCCTTTGTTTCTAACGTAGCCCTTAAAAAAATTTAATATTCTCTCCGTCTTAACGCTCACGGTCTTTGTTTCTAATGTAGCCCTTAAAAAAATTTAAATATTCTCTCCGTCTTAACGCTCACGGTTTTCGCATTTGAAAATTTCTGAACTCGGGGTAGATCTTTAATAATCGATACCGAAAAATTATGTTGTGTGGATAATGCTCAGTGAAAATCTTCATGTGTGTCGCATTAGTCGTGGAGCAGTAAACCAAAATATACCAAAAAATTTTTATGTCTGTTTTATATTTCTTTTGTAATGTACGCATTCTTTCGCTGGAAAAACTTTTACTAAATCAAGGTTCCGTCTTACAGTCTTTAGCGTCTTAAAATCGAGGAAATACTGCAATATTAATTAGCCTACTTTGCAATAAAAATCCAAATGGTTGATATGCAAATTGAATAGCTCTCATGAGATGCAATGAAAATTCTTTGTGTTGCTGTAACGTTTTTCCAGATGCTCCGCGTCTATTTGAATATTTAATCTATGAGCGCAAGCAAACACTAACAAACTGACACTCTTACAGATTCCTTCGTAACTTTTTTTGCAGGAAGGGACCAGAAGGGACGAAATTATAATTCTTGAGGGCAAATACTAGGCCTTGCAGTGTCTCTCCAATTTGAGTCACTTAGCAACGTCACGTTTTACAATTAGGTACAGATGTTTTTATCGTAGAATTATAGTTCCTGATAGTAAATCTTGTCTCTGGAGAATTAATGAGCGTTCGCTGGAGAATGTCAGCTATTTGCCTTTAGCAGTTCCGCATGTCGTATTTTGACGTAATCTGTCATATGACTGAAAACTTGAAGACAGCTTTGTGTCGGACGCTGTTAGTTCTCTTCACTTGGCTCACACTTCGCAGTCTGTGAAGATAGCAGATAACTGCAAATAAGTAATTCATCAAAAGAGCTCTTTACATTTCGCTGTTGGACTTGAGCGGAGTACAGATGCTGTTTTAGGGGACGAGCCACGTCGAAAGTTGAAAGTTATCCAACGTTTCGGTAAAACTTAAGAGCAAATTACTTTGTTTAAGACTATATTTGTTTAAATCTTGTCAGTCTAATCACAATAAAATTCCTATTAAATATTAAAATATTACTATAATTATCATTTAATATATTTTAAATATTTAAATGTTAATTATAGTAATATTTTAATATTTAATAGGAATTTTATTGTGATTAGACTGACAAGATTTAAACAAATATATATTTATCACAATATGACGCAACTTTATCATCTCTTTGTTTAAGACGTCAAGGCGTAGGAAAATAAATAATGAATTGAATTTTAAGGTCTGAATTAACTGTGATGTATAAAAAAGGGATATTTCAGAAATTATTTAGGTTTTTATCAAGGTCACTACAGATTAACGAGAACATGTCTCGTTATGTCGTATATAATATGTATTTGTGTTGAATGCGAGATTTTTCTCAAGGCATGTTAAGAAAGCAACACTTGCAGTGAATGACGGATGTCACACTACGTAAAAGTAGTTACCGTCTCGGGACTGGAGTGGAACTTGGGGGGAAAAAATACGTCACGCTCCTTTGATTTCGTTTCAATTAGTTTGAGCTGATGAACAAGCTGTTAATCCTACGGGCCGTGCTCAACAGCGCGGAAACTACAACCCACGTGCTGGTATCTCACCACGGCTTGCTGGATGTCTGACTTCGCTCGTGCTTTGCCTCCGCCCCTAGACATGCGTGTTATGTTCCTTTCGCTACTGTGCCTCATTAGGATCACTGAGGCGTGATACTGAGATTGCTCTATGCCACACATCGCGTTATCCGCTCTTTTTTATTTCTTTCTGAGTCAATAAAAAAAATCTTTAATTTATTAATTTATTTATCATATGGCTTTTTAACGACGCTGTCTTAGTGTCGAGTGATACGATGATTAACTAAAAATGATGATGGCTGTCTTAAGGGTTATAGCGCCTTGCAGTCTGGTATAAGTTTATCGACGTTTCGGGGCTACTTGCTGCTTCCATTATCAGGACGATTATGGAGGCAGATTACAAGCCGCTATAGCCCAGAAGACATCGCCGTGAAAATATAAAATCTTACGACAAGTAATGAATTTTAAAGGACGTAGAATGATGTGTTTATGGTCTGATTAAGGTATAATTTACCGTGTTTCGGGAGGGATTGAGGAAAATCACGATGTGTGTGTGTGTGTGGGGGGGGCCGAGACTTGATTCTGGGACTCCGTAGGATCTAATTACTGGCACGCAGATGCGTTCGGTCTGCCCTCTAATTAGAGTACGCAAGGACTTTCAAAATGATACTGTGGTCCGTGTTGAAAACGCGGTGATCATTGGTGTGACACAGTTAGCACATGTGAACCTAACCTTCGGTCTTCCCAGCAAGAGACATGAGGCATTTATAAGGACGTTTCGGTCTCAAGTAAAGTGTTATTGTTTGTAAAAAAGACATGTAATAACTAGTCAAGTCGTAACTCACACAGCTGAGAAGTACGGTACATAACAAGTGTCAGAAGTTTCTGTACCGAGTCTGTTCTGGAATTACAGACGCCGGTGTTCAGGCGCGTCGGGACGCGGGTTATAGAGTGCAAGACGCCTGTCTAAAGTTTAAAACGCGCTCGTATGTGTTGGCTCCTTTAAATTAGAACAGGAGTCTTCTTTATTTCTCAAAGTGCTAACGATGACATTTCCAATCAAGGCGGAAGTAAGAGGATGGATAAAATTACATACGAGTATCTGAATGTTTAACCAAATATTAATATGAACACGGAAAGTTCGATGGGTTTACCGCGATATCTAGCGCGTATAAAACTTAATTGAAATTATACGAAAGGATAACTTGGTAGACGTAGGCATGGATGACAGGTGATTTAAGAATCTTGATTGCTCTGGATTGGGTCCATCTTGAACACAACAGCGCTGAATCGGATTCATTGAAAGACTGTGGATATATTTTGACCAGGTCAACAACTGTCAGCTTTTTTTTTAGGTTTTATTATACGCAGTGAAGATAAACGGCTATTTGCCGTGGTTTAGTTAGCGATGTGGTTTGGAATGTGCACCTAGCGAAGGTTTATGTGCACAACGTCACTGCCCTCGTGTTCGTGCCTTCATAATCAGAAAGTGATTCGGATAACCGCGGTAGAATTCTTCATTTTATGTCCTGTGGAAGCAGAGTTTTACGTACATTTTGGGGCGCATTCATTTGTGTGTGTAAGAGACTTAAGCAGAAATCTTTTTCGATGTAACTTTGGCCAAATCCCGTTCCTTCTCCATCTGTCTGTAGTGTTTCAATTCGCGGCACTATTACGTCACGCGTTGTGAAAAACATTTGACAAACCCCCCCCCCCCCTCCGCGCTTGGGGCCTGCGTTTCGTCAGACAGTGCCTCCGGCCGTCTAGTACCAAACGTCGTGGCCTAATTTTGACTTGTGAACAAGTTTCTGTTCGTAAATTAAGAAAGTTGCAGACTGCTGCCGGTTATTGGAGTCATTAAAATGCTCTGATAAACTCAATACTTGTCGACTGAAATCACTCTGATGCATTTACCACGTGGTCCTTCAACTCCTCGGTTTGGCGCAAAAGTGACCTCCCTACTCTTTCATAACAACGTGTTCATATACTTCGTTCGGGTCAGCTGGCGTTCGGCCACTCATCTATAAAATAAAATCCTTTGCCCAAGATACATTCCTCGTCTTCTGGTTTGCAGAAAATGATAAGCGTTTCGGAGGGACATACTTCTTACATCTTCAGGACTGAAACAATAAAAAATTAAAGGAAGAAGAAATGAAAGAACACAAAGAAGCTGTTGAAGTGAATGATGTGGAAAAGACAAACATGAGGAACATAAGAATGTAAGAAGGAACGATTAAGAAAAGGAAGGAGAAGAAGACAAAACAGGGGAAAGAAAAGATCCGCCACTGCAGTCTGTCATTCTGGAACGAGAGTTCAGTGCGAGTTGTTTTATTGTAATGGCTTTGGCTTCTCGCCATTTAACACAGCGTACTTTTTCTTACTGCAGAGATGGACATCTACATTGTTTATAAGTAAGCCCGGAGCACCGCGAATATTAAAAAAAATATTCCGGGCAGGATATCTTGAAGGGACGCCGTTCTTATTGGCCGCGAGATTCCCTCGTGTTGGGACTTCCATCAAAGTGTTAACTGAGTATTTATGATTTAGTGGTCCTCGTGGGTCTGTGGCCTCTGTCAGCCCGCCCTTGAACTAAATTCGCGTTAAATCTCGCAAATTTCTATGGATCCTTTACCCTTCTTTGATTAAATGTAATATCCGCACGGTTCTGGAACATGTTAGCAAAAAATTTCCTAATTATTCCGGAAAGTACGATCTGATTCTCACATCAGAGACTATGGAAGTGGTTGGATGTCTTCTGCGTTGTAGTTTTCGGACGTTTCAGAAGTACTTGCTGCTTCAATTATCAGGACGATGTCTCACGTGACTCATCGCGTAACAACACGGGCGCCAGTGTACTTGTTACACTAACAAGTGTTTGAGCGAAGAATATGGACATATATTTATGAAATCACCACAAGAAATGTCACATATTTAATTTCCGTGATTTGTCGGTTTCCGTCATCGGAGTCTAAACGGTGTTTACCCCACAGAAGAATATGCAAATGTTAATAAAGTTTTGTTTTAAAGATCTTTAATCACGTTATGTTACAAGAAAGGTTCAGTGGCAGTAATTTCACTGTTACCTCTAAAATTTGGACCAGTGTAATTGTTGGTATTACTGATATTTATTGATTGTAATAAGTGAAATTTACATAGGTGGGATATTCTTTAGGTTGCACACCAAGTTTCATGAAAATCCGTCGCATGCTCGTATTTTGTGGGTGATTCCATTAGTG